AATATTTAACAGCTTGCCTTTCACTTCAGGCTTCAGCGGAGTACAGAAACAGGACAGATGTTTCAAACATAGGTGATGAGGTCATATCTCCTTCTGAGCTGTATTACAGGGTGTACTATGTGTATTGAAAACAGACCTGAACGAAACATCAGATTCATACTCCTCCTGAGGACATTAAAGACAAACTCTCACTGATCTATTTCTCATACCCGTCTATATTCTAACCTTTCAGGCCCAACAGCAGCTAGCTGCTACTTCAAGCACTGAAGTCTGCCATAATTTCTCCATCACTATGGCAATTTTCCAAGAATATCTTTTCTGACCACAGATTCATACACTCTCATATGATTACTGCACATATGAGGATGCTCTTCTAAAGCCCACTGAGTGACCTACCTCCACAGCCCAATCTCTTCTAGAGATCTGAACTCTCCGAGACCTCGGGGCTGCCACAAAGCCCATAGCAGCAAGGTCAAAGTTCAGAAAAAGATAACACATCACTGCTCCATACAAATACCTCACCGAGCCGCAGAAAAAATGTATTATCAATGTGACCCCCTCTCTCTCCACGTATACGTAACTCAACAGTTATGGATGAGTCTCACCACAACACTTTGGTTACAAACTTATCTGGAAGACACTGTGTCTACAACTATATGAGACTTCAAGTTTCTTTTTGAAAATTGTAATGTAGCAGAAGCAACTCTGCATGTTTATTTCATATGCACACCGTAAGAAGATTGATACTACAAAAGCAATTTACACTGGCTACCTTTGTTCTGCTAAACCTATCATACAAGCTGTTTGTTCTGGATTCTCCTGCTTCTTCTAACTTACCTACAGATACTGACACCAAGTGAACGAAATGCTGCTAACTCTTACTAAGTTTTTGTTCATTCAGCAGAACAAATTGTCAGCTCTCCAGGAATACATATGATCATATTTTAGATTTTAAAATGAATTAACTTTTTAATTTAAGAAATAAGGACATTAGTTGAAGACCATTTGCCTAGTGTCATGCTAATTAATTTCTAAATTGGAGAAACGCTGGCTATGAGGACGTACAAAATGCAATGTCTAAAATGCAAAATCAAGGAACATCAATCTACTGAAATTGTCCTGTTCAACCTCTCTATACCCAATGCATATTTCTGAACACTGTGGCACTATGTCAGCATGTCCTGTGCAGGCCACACTCTGAACATCTCCTGGAATGCAGAACACTGAAGCTCAAAGGAAGAAAAGAATGGTGTTAGGAAGAAAGAAGGGCAGGGAAACAGAGAAAAGAAAGAGACAAATCAGAAAACTTCTGGTAATTCACAAGTATAAAATGCGAAGTCCAAAAAAGTTCCCACTGGCCTACAGCTTCAAGTGTTAGTTAATATGAAGTCTAATTATTTTTGCAGTTTGGTATTTTTATGAAACGTGCACTGAAATATGAAACTTTCAGCTAATAGAACACATGTGTAGGTAGAAAGCATTCTTTTTGGCATGATTTTTAGTTCCATGAACAATGATGCCAGAAAAACAAGATCTAAATTCAATGCAACTACCAGGAGACACAATTCAAGAGGGGGTAAAAAAGTTAAAATCAACAACTGGCAGCATTATGCAGAGAAGCTAGTGTTTATTACCAGCATTATGAGGCTTAAAACGTATCTATCACCTTGGAAATTTTACTGATAAAATTTCACAGTAGATTTATGCCATTTTTTGCTTTATTTCATATGAAGTTTAAAACTCCATAATTTGCAGTCCCAGCTTCTTGTAAACCTTTTACTTGTGATTCTGAGGGAAAGACTGCATCAGGTGCCAGTATTAAGCCTCATCTGAATAGCCAGAATACCTAACATCTGGTAAGTGTACAATAACATGTGGAAAACAGCAGCATGAAATGAATTTTCAAAGGGAATATTCAGTAGCGAAGCTAAGATCTAGTACCATTAAGTAAGGATGTATTAATCAGCTAAGAATATTCAATAACTGAAGTCTTGAAAGTACCACATTATTCACTTTCCTTGTTATCAATATGCTTCACTGTTCCTTGGCAGCGTGCATTAAAGTTCAAAACATGGAAGAAAGAACCACTCTCCTGAAATGTAATAGACAGGTGGGAAAACTACAGAAGTCTTTGATCACAGGACATGTACAGATGATTGCAAGCTACTGGATTGTTATGACTTACATTACCACTGAACCATATCGTATGACAGGTTCTTGTGCTCTTATCCCACTACAAGTGCCAAGGAAAATGTATTAGTTTCAACTTCCATTCTTAAACCACAAACACAGTTTAGTTTTAACTTATTTTCCTTCGCAGTTTTTATGAGCTAATAGCTCAAAGAATGGTCGCTTAACACAGATCAGCTGATGAGCAGAAGCCAGTTGAGCCACAGACCTCCCCTCTACCCCCTCGCATCACACACAGCTGTGGCAAGGAATCATGTGAGTGCTACTCATCCACCCCAGTGCAAAACAGGCCCACGTGGCTTCAACTGCTGATGACGGTTTCAATACCTAATGCAGAATGGAGATAAAAATCCCCTAAACATTTGCTTGCTCCCATTTTTTCGTCCACTGGAAAACAGTGAAGCAGCAAATACTTTTGGGAGGAGCTTGAGGGTTCCTGTGAATTTGCACAGATGTCAGCTGAAGTGTGACAGTGCCTGGCTCCTGATTCTCAAGAGAGAGCAGTTACTCTTTTGCACCAAAATGCAGCTGAGTGCACGAAGAAAAAAATCCCAGCGTTTCACCATTTGTTTTCAACAAAAGTTTAGAAGCAGGACCCAGCGTACAATTCGTTAAAAAAAAAAAAAAACAACCAAAAATTGGATGCTAAGTTGATTTCCTACATACACATGTACAGACGCAACCTCTGAGACAGAACCAAGATTATCCCAAATACGACCTGCTATGTAATAGTGCAGACACCTTCATATAGATAAGCTGATGTTGATTTCAACAAAAGAATCGATTAAATCATGCTTCTCTTCCCTATCTTGTGCATGCTCTCACACACTTCAAACATACATCGCATATCCGTATATATGCACAGACACACCTATACACGCGTTTACAAACACATAGTTTTAGAACATCTTTCTTCCAGTGCAGCCTTACTCTGCATGCACTAATGCAGCTGCTCAGATGATCGGCAAGACTCCACTCAGGGGCATTTAGAGTTTGGAAGTTTTTTACTCCTCTACAGTTTACAGTGTTTTACTCCACGACTATTTTAGCATGACACACGGCTGAATGGTTTTATGAAAGGACTCACCTCTCCCTGCCTAACTTAGGCGGTTTCAGGAAAATATGGTAATCCAAGCATTTCCCTTAAAAACAGCATGAACTTGCATCAACATTTTAAACTACATTCTTTGTTTCTATTTAAGAAAGAGAGATTCAATTTGTGGAATCCTTGTTAGGAATAGCCATTTCAAGGGGAAAAATAATGCTACTAGGCTATAATTAAAAAAAATGTAACCAAATCTACATGCCGCTCTTGGAGAGACATAACACCTCCCAAGATTAGTCTTTTAAGAAGATGTAATTTGGACAGCAGCATTTCACAAAGAAGGAAAAAACAACAGTAAGTACTAAAACAAAGATTCTAACACATCTCCAAAAAAAAAAGTCACCTTTCCTAGTCTCACTTCTACAAAAGTATTTCTGATTAAAGTCTCAGTAAAGAATACTTCACATGTCTTTTTTATTATTATTTTTTAAATACAAATTAGATTGCTTCCCCCCACAAATACTGTGTGTGGTCAAAAGTTCGGAGTACTGGTACCTTCTCAAGGCCTTTGAGTTCAAGAACCTTCATGATGTGAGCTTTTTCAATTCCGGGCAGTATTCAAGTTCTAGCCATATGTCTCACAACTTACTAATATTCAACAGGAACAAAAAAAAATTCGTAACACATTTATTAAAGTGGCCTGGCTAGAATGTTTCTTACAGGAATATTTTTGTGCTGTGGATATTTTAATATAGCTCAACATTTAGTTAAGTGTGTCTGAGATCAAATGTTAGCAATTTTGCTGACACCTAACATGGAAATTCGGCTAATTTAATCGCTTACTGACTCATCACTCAAAGTAAAAGCTACTTTTTCTTACCTCATGTATGCATAAGCACCTAATAAAGCCATCTTATCAAAAGGAACAAAAGCAGATGTGAAAGATCTGTTTCTCCGAAGACAGCCATATAATGAAAAAATAGCTGCTTAAACCTCAGCAATAAATGTTCTCAGGTTTGCATGGACTGCAGTCCACATCTGGCCACAGTGACAGTTGATAACAGGGAAAAGAACATACTGTACCCAATATAATCAATCCAGTTAGTGAGCATAAGAGTGAAGAGGCCAAAGACAAGCAGGTATAAAACACAGGGATAAAGTATCTTGCAGGAGTAATGAAACAAGGTTGGTCAAATACTTTGAGTTTACAGACAAAATACTTAGCTTACGTTTTATTGTTTGGCAAGTTGTTTATTTAAAGAGAAAGACCAGAACAGATTTTGCTCTTTAAAACAGCCACTAATAATGTGAGATCATTCCAAATGCAACATTAATTTTAAAGACCAGAGTAAAACGCTGCTTAAAACTCAGTTCTGTTCCTACCTGCCCATCTTGACCCACGTGAACTTGATGTATCTGCAAGTTTCCCTGTAAAATAAGAGCATTGACAATAAACACAACTTTGGAATTTAAAAAGTTGTTCTGTCCTGAAAAAGGCCTGTTTCTCATCTCATTATTAAACAACTTCAACATTAAGGAAATCTATTAATTTAGGAAATTCTGCTGAGGGTTATTTTGGCAATCCAGCTACAATTCAATGATCAGCACTTTAACCACAGAGAATAAACAGACTAAAAAGCAAGGAGGTTTTTCAGCAGCACCATGTTTTCTTTTTGAAAGTTACTGTATAATGTACAGTATTTTTATGCAAAGTTTGTTTGCATGGCTTTTGAGGTAAGATTTTTATTTTCCCTTATTTATATAAAACTGCAAATTTGAGTCAAACCCTTAATAAACTAGAATTAGCAGTATAACACTTTTACATGTATGGAGTGCTATTTATTATTCGTTGTTATAAAGTTACAGCCTGAGCTAACAGATTTTTTAATTGTATTAAAAGCCAATACCATACACCAACATAGTTCTATTACAGGAATTATATCTATTATAAAAAATTCTCATATCTTAAAGGAAACTATAGCTAGAAACTCTAAAGAGGGAAGCAGTATTTTTACAATATGAAGTTTTTATTCATGTGCTCAGAGATGCCTTTTCAAAAGTACACTTAGATTAAGAAAGAACAGCTTCCCAAACACAGAGACTTGAAGTGAAATAGTACATTTATCTGAGGAAAAAATACTGATTCTTTGATTTGCATGTTTTCTGCATTTTCTCTTACTGGCAGCACTTCCTCTTATTTGAAGCTGTGTACATTGTAATAAATTTAAAACCAGATGTTTTCATCTGTCACGGACAAATGTAGTCCTTGAAAGTCTTACATATGGGAACTTCAGATGAAGCCAATGGACACTGGTGTGTACTTGAACCTCAGGATCAATTACAACTGGTATCTGCTGACTCATATTTTTTTCTGTGGCTCAGAACTGTACCCAAGAACTGCTTCAGTTTTACTGTAACACACTGTGCATTCCTTTAGACCCAGAACATTTTGATCCTTTCTTATTTCTCTCTAGGTCTGACAAGCTCTTCAAAGGAGACCGCTTTTAACTATAATATTTGTATTATGTTTACGATAATATTTATTCTACAATAGCTCCCTCTGTTAACAGTATTCCTCCACACCAAAAGTGGTTTTATGAAATGTGATTTAGGGTACTTTGGAACTGAATTAAACTAACCCACAAGCAGATATGCTTAACACTGAGTAAAAAAAACCCTATGGGGAAATCACACAGATTAAAATTTAGTCTGCATTTATGCTTAACCTTATTTTGCTATTGCTTCTGTATGTAAAAAACCTAAGTGCACAAGAAATCTAACAGCAGTCTCAGTCGTCAGGAGTCTCTATATATTCTTAAATAACTGATAATAGCACTCTCATTCAGGTATATTCAGCTGGTTTTAGCAGCTGTTTTGCCTCAGTAGGGGGGAAAAAAAGCAAAATTGGATGGTTCAGTACTGGATTTATCCATTTCCATTCTACCGTACTATTTTTATGGGGAAAACTTATAAGGTGCAAATACTGCAGTGCCAGATTACTTGATCAGTAACAAAGGTAAGTTCACTTCATTCTGCAATATATCTAGATGGCATCTGAACATTTCTCCAACTCCTGTTCAACAGTTCCCACAGTTAAGACACTGAGCATTCTGAACATATTTAGTTCACAAACCTAACGAAAACAATGTCATTTCTCAATGGCAGTGCAAGCACCTAAACTGGTTTCCTATAATACTCTGTAAGTACTAAATTTCCAATGAAGACCATCAGCTATATACAACACTCAGTGTAACACACACACAGAGCTGTCTTGGCTGGTCAAGGAAAAAAAAACCCAACCAATCAAACAAAAAAACCCCAACCAAACAAACAGAAATGCCCCCAAACCCCCAGAGACAAAAAGAGTATGTTGCATTTACTGCCATAAAACACATTTCATCCTGGCTGCACCATGTGCTCTCACTTCTACCCATGCTGTCTTGGCAGTGTATTGTAGCAGATCTCAGAGGTACAGTTTTAAAATTGGGGCTCTAAGTTCTGGCCAACATGTGCTCCACAGGCACCCAAACTTCTGGCTCACCTCACTGTCCTGCGTGATTTGGACTTGCTCGCCTTGAGGAACCTGGGCTATGTGGAGATGGCCCTGTGGGATCCGCAACAAAAGAAAACACCAAGGAGCATCAGAAGAAAATCATAACTAGAGGAAGAAGCTATTACGTTAGATTCAATACAGCTTAATGTATGGAAGCAAAATTCTTATTCAATGAAAACCATTAAAGATAACTTTAAAAAAAGTAAAATGCATTCATATTTCGCCATCTTTTTATGCAAACTATACGCAGAATGACTCTGAAGAAAGAATGGTTCATTTTCACATAAGAGGAAAGAAAAGAGGCATAATAATAAATAACATTTATGTAGTGCATTTCTCTATAGACAAAGTATCTGCATTTTTGACTGATAAACAAAGCATGGGACTAACTTGCTTTGACAGATTAGCATTGTGCCTGAAACATGAATCCCATTTAAAGACCGTGGAAACTCAGTTCTTCAAACAGATATGCCAAGACTAACTACTCACCAAGAGTGAGCTTTTAAAAAGTATCTCTAAGTATCCAAGTATCTTTGTACATTCACACAGGTATGATGAAGTACAGTACCATGCTAAAGACTATCTCTCAAGCTGATATAAATTGGCATGAAGTCATTAATTTGAATGCAGTTACACTGGTTTATGTTAATGAAGAATATGCCCTAACAGTTTTAATAATATTAATACTTTGTATTGCCGACCGTACCCACCACTTCAGAATGGTATCAAGCCTACTATTTGATCAAAACATGGATAAGAGAGTGGACGGAATTCCTTGTGCACCCTGACTAGCCCAGCGAAGTCTTTGCTACTGTGATTTACCTGAAGGGAGATTGGATTCTAAATAACCTACTTCGGGGTTTATAAGGCTTTGTGTTCATTTTAATATGCCTGCATGAGACAGAGATTAAAGATAATCATTTGGAATTCTGTCAAAGGCTCTTCTTATTTTATAACACAAGAACAATTGCATGTGATTTTCAAAGAAACACAGATCCCTCTATTTCAAACAGTTTCATTTCCTTTGGAAGGAAACTGTCTATTTATAGGGAGAAAAAACATACTGAAAGTATCACTCTGACAATAGGGACTGTATATAAAATTAGAACACAGCCCAGTCCATGTTGAGATTAGAATCACTTTCCCTCCTTAACATCAAGCTCTCAGGGCTCCCAGGAAAAAGCACTGAACATTTAAAAGATCCATTTATAGTGTTTTCAAATATAAGCAATCCTTTCTGACTAAAGGGAGGGGGGAGAAGGTGACTTTATTCACCTTTGTATCGTGCAGCCTTCCAAAAAAGAACTGCTCGCTCATCTTTTGCAGATACGTAGCTGGCCTTCAAGGACAGGCCCTTCTAGTTTGTTCACAAATTCAATTCAATACTGGGTTTTTTTTAAACATACATAGTATAAATAACTACTACCTTGCTAATGACTCTTAGCCTGATCTATATGTATCATTTCCTAGATTTGGAAAAGCAATACCATTTTCATCTGTTTCAACCTAGGACCCCTCTACACATTAAACAAATTAGGACATTTAGACAGTGATTGTGGGTCATAGTGGATTTTTCCCGGATTCTACAATCAACTTAAAGGATAGCTGACAGGTCCAGATCTTTTAATGAGGCAAACTTTCATCACTTACATCTATAAACATACCCGTTTTATTATATCCATGTATTTCATATAATTTTCCCTCCTACTTTGTCTTTCAAGACTTGAAAAATACTTTTCAGTCATCACTAAATCTCAGAAAAAGATCTATACAGCAGTTAAGAAGATATGCTCTTTAAAACGTATAGGGAAACCAAGATACAAAGAAATTCACGCAATAATACTGTAAAGTTACAGCAAAAGGGAAGTGGAACCGGAACCTTTGCACCCAATTCCCGCAGAAAGAGCATTATTTCACTGAGGATGCTCTCAACAGGAGGGGAAAAAAAGTTTGCAAGTTAATTTATGGAACTTCTCTTTAGTCTTCTTCCAAGTTTGAGAATAGTAACTCAAAGCATTTAGGATCTAGTTCCACTAAGCAATCTCTCTCCAGGATCAGCTCCTGAACTTCCATTTAAGTCATATAGTGTCTAGGTACCTAACAGGAAAGGGCAAAGCCTTTGGGAAAACGAAAGGGGTGGCCCAGACTTTCCAACCCTATCCAAATCCCACAGCTAACGGTTCCTAGCATCCCTTATACCCACACTCCAGCTCTTCCTTTTCTCTTACTTTACAAGCAACCTTTTTCACTTTGGAAAAATGTGCTCTCTACCGCAATTTCCCCTCCACAACTCTCACAACTCTCACAGTTGCTGTCTGGAGTTCCTCTCGACTGCATTCCACTTCCATGCACTCCTTAAAAAATATTCTGGCTAATATTTAAGTCCTACTTTTAAGCAATCTTACAGCTTTGTCAGTTGCCTTCAACACTGTGCCACACAGCTTGAAATTTTCCCCCAACTTCCATGACACTCTTCTCCTCTGATTCTTCTACTGCTACTACAGTAAACCTCCAGCAGGTCTTACAGACGTGTCTTTTTTGATAACATTCCAAAAGAATCTGTCCTTTGTAGCCCTTTTTTCTTCATCATATTTCTGAGCAACTTCACCATTTCCATGCTGACTATTTGCAGCTCTATATCACCAGACTTGAGTATTCCCTGTGTTGACAGAGACTTTTCATTCTTTATGTGTAAATTACTCAACTGGTGACATTTGCTCTTTCTCTCCTGCACTGCCTCTCTTACTTGGGGAGATAATACTGTAATATCTACCAAAGGTGCTTCGTTATCCTATTTCAGACTCTTCTTTGTAATGCCGTTGACTAAACCTTTGCAACAGCCAGACCACTGGGTGCTGTGGTTTATATTGTTGACTAATATCTCTCAAAAATTCTTGTTAATTTGCCCATTTCCACCTGTTTCTTTAGCCTGGTTTGTAAGGAAAGTGGGCTCACATGATCATGATGCAAAATGAGTACGTACATGTCTGTGCACGTTCCTTTCTGTAGTGTGCTTGGACACTGCCTGGCACAGTTGAGTGCTGGACCATACTCTGACTTCTGGGTATCTTCAAAACACTAATACCATCAGTGAAAGAGTTTCTATGTTATATGAATGTGCATAAACGCTGTAAGCTGCAAAGCCTGAAGTTTCTGAAAACTAATGGCAGACAGATTTCACACATTAAATTCTCAGGTTTCTACCACAGAAGAACGAGTGTGCAACTATAATTCACTATTTCTGAATGCCGCACGTCAGAAATGCCACATAATCCGTTATTTCATTATTTTCTTCTACTCTTTTTTTTTTTTTTTTTTTTTTTTTTAAATTTGAATTTAGAACAATCCCTGTAGTCAAACTGTGGCACACAGGAACTACAGCCAAGGTGAGTTTTTTCAGAGTACACTAAAACCATATATAAAATAATCACAGCCTGAGTTATGGTAGGAGTCTCAGGCTTAAAAAATGTCAATATTTATAACTTTTACTTATATACATGTATCTAAATGAATACACATGTAAAAGATTCAGCTAACAGATGTTCAAAAATGCCTGAGAATGCAGGGGTTTTTAAATGAAAATTAAAAAAAATGCATTCTTGTTTAGAAACTCATAGCTAGAACTACCTCTGAAGTGTAAATCATACACTTAGTAGGTCTGCTATTACTATTATGGCAAATACAAGCAAACTGCTAGGTAGAGACTAATTAATTCCATATACAATAACACATGTGCATTTATTTGCAACAATTGTGTGAGCAAATCCTGAATGAAGATTTTTGTCAAATAACTCTACATTTTTTTTATAAGCCTTCAATGTTTATTTTCTGAAAATCATGCTTAAGAAGTGATGAAAGGCCACTTCTTTAAAATAAAAAAATAAATTTCAACTGGAACAAAGTTTGCAATAACCTAGATTGTTTAAACAGAAAAATTTAGATAAAGTTGAGTACATACTACTTGGACTTGTCCATCTTCTCCTATTTGGTGGATCTGAACCTGCTGAGCATTGGCTAGTGCATAGTGTAGTGCCTGGGGCTGGTTCTGCTGGATCTCGTTAGAAGCTGAAACTGAATTCTGCGAACCCTCTGAAAAAGAGACAAAAATCCAGCTTTATTCTATGTGCATATCTCATGCCAGTGGCCATGCAACGATGCACACTCAAAAACTGTGGAAAACAAATGCAGTCAGTAAGTAGATGCAGATCACTTCTACATTAATATTTTTATGCATGTTCATTACTCACCTGTAGATTTGCTACAAATTCCAAAGGAGTTCCAAAGGCTATTTTGACTTTGATAAAGCACATGTCTAAAAAGCCTCTTTTGAATATAGATTAAAGATTCTGCAACTGTAAAAATCGTATCACAGCAAAACCACATATATTTCCTAAGCAGTTCAACAGTTCCTTTTGTGCACCTGTGTAGCTGAGAACTATTACTGCCACCCCCACCACAAGGATACATCTGAAAACCTATCCTGTAAATTGAAGTTACCATCTAAATAAAGGACATCTCTGAATTGTTTTTCAAGATCCATCATCTATAATTCATACTAACACACACGAACCTGGAATTATTTTTTTTAAGCCTCAAAATGACAGGTTGATTTTTTTAACTTAGATGAATTTAAACGTTACCTCACACTGCAAAGTAAGGCCTTCTGAAAATGCCCCTACAAAAAGGAAGCCACCTGGGTGTTATCTTTGGGTAACACTGACAGCCACCAGGAAAACCATCGCATGACTTCAAGAGGATAACAATTTGCATTAGAAGTAGACATATCATAGATTTATTTCTAGGTTTTCCAGCTGCAAGGAAAGGATTCTTATAAATGTAAGAGGCAAAAGACAAGTAAAAAGAACTAAAATTATTAATTTTTTTTAGCATAAAAGTACTCAAATACCTTTTTTAATTACTTTTATAAGGCATTTGGTGTCAGTGATACCAAGAGACTAATAATGTCAATAATTCTGTACTGAAAGGGTGAAGTGGAATACAATGGACCAGAGACTAATGTTATGTACGGGTCTTCCTACAGATTAAGACACCACTAGCAGGTAAATGTATCACTAGATACCATATATCCTTTTAGGAATCAGGGAAAAAAACCCAGGGCTATCGATCAACGACAATTCTGGAGCACAGGCAACAAGTTCGAGTACGCACTGCTAGGAAAAACCTTAAAACATCCCAATATCATACTAAGATTCAGCATCAGTCCTGGTTTTCTTCCCCCTTTTTTTTTTTTTTTTTTTAATTTGAGACATCTTGGAGAATGGGACTGTCATAAAGGGTTTCTAGACTAATGTATTTGAAGAAATACTTTTTCCATACAGTATTACCATAAACCATTTTAACATTTTTCTTTTGCTATGCCACAAAAATACATTGAATGAAATCTCTGAAGCATTAAGTGTTTCACAATTTTTCTAAATTATTTATTGGTCTGACAGTGACTTTTATGTTATGAGGTAACATAAAACACATTAACATCCAACATGTAGTAACATTCAACACTATAGGGCTTTCAAGCTGTCCAAGTACTAGAAACGATAATGAAAATATTTAAGAACCAGTGTCACTCTACTTCCATTGTAGATCACTTCCTTACAGGATTTTATGTACTGCTTAAATAAGCACTAAATAGGCCTCATCCTGCTCAGACGTGACTGATGGCTGATATATTTTGATTTTTTAAATAATGGTTGGGTTTTTTGAACCAACACAGCAGGAAGCCATGTTTCATGAAATTTTAATACCTCTACTTAATACTCGAAGATTTATACTGAAAAGAGCACACTCATTTTGCAAGAATGAGCTTTATCCGCTCATAGAAATATTTTAATGGAAATGTTCTTTAACAAAATCATCCATTTGTGTTTTTTCATCCTGTCTGCAAATGTTTGTGTAAAAAGACAATTGTCAGCTTTATGTCTAAACACGGGAACTGGAAACTAACTCAAAACCACCGAGCTAGTATTTACTTATTTTAGTTTCAAATCTTAGTTGCTTAACAATTCAACTAGACAGCTCTAATTATATTAAGAGTCTGCAAATACGTAACTAGAACCAGAACACTTACGCAGTAACCGAGCAAAACATATCAAGTACATTGTTTTGCTGTCTATTGGACTTCCATCTTTAATACCTTACCTTTGACTAGTCGGTAACTGCAGAAAATTTGTAATTTCTGAAGTATAGTCCTGTCACTTACTGTGCAATTCCAGCATTTCCTGCACGGCTATACAATGGAAATTTGCTGTACAGAATTCCAGATGGAATTAACAAATCATAACTGGCAGAAAAGTCCTGTACCTTGTACGAGAAACTGCACTGTCAACCAAATAAAAACATGATTTGTTCAAATTCTGATACTAGATCATGGTTTCCATTGCCAGCAGCTTTGTGATGGTCACTGAAAGTAACAGATGGTCCAGAAAGATCACTTACCTAGCCCTCTCCGTATTTCACTTTTTCTCTCCTTCTCATTTCTTCAGTCCTAGTAATATTTTATGCAACTAATTTTCTGTATTTTTTATTTAAGAAATAGCATTTTGTTAGGATGCTAAATGGCTAAGAAAGCCCACTGTTATTCATCTTGCTTCTCATAGGCTACTAGTCCATTCCGTTGTGATTTTCTTTCCATCATTCTTCCCAGTCCCCCACTATGTAATTCAACAGCTGAGTTGAGTTACAACTCAACTTCCTGTCAAGCCCCAGTGTCCAAATAAATAATCCTTCATTTAGATGTGTGCATGTATACACACATATGCACACATACATAACATCATATGCTCAAACATACACAGTGTAAATGTAAATACACATACACAAACAGCGAAACTGGACTTGGGACACAAGCAAGGTAAGACGCGTTTCACTTACAGATTTAATAACCTCCTAAGCAGTACCTTCCCTGTAGCTTACACTTACCGTTACACAAACTGCAACTGCTGCACTTCTGAGAAAACGTGAAGATGCATTTATAACAAGTATTTATTTTCTGATTAACAAAGTCATGCAATAAAGGACTATCAAAGAAATAAAAGCTGCAGCAGATGAAAATACGTATTTACATATATATTATGTGCACACATTACAATATATTTTTAACTGTAAAGTCCAAAAAGCTGTTATTTGTAAACCATCTTTTGCTTCACGGATGCCAGAGATTATTATGCTTTTCAGAGGTGGGAACAGAAGACACAGACTGAATGCAATCATACTGTACATCTCGCATGGTCACTTATAAACAGATTTCAGTTTGGCTTCACTGCAACCACCACAGTTGAGTTTTCTTTCTTTTTTTGTTGGATTTTGGTGGGGTTTTTTTCTTCTTAGGAAGAAAGAAGGGAGAGGATTCAACAGTGTCTAAAAACAAAACATCCTTTATAAGTATTGTTTTTCCCCTCTAAATCTCTGACCAGACAAAAGTAATATTTATCCATTTTTAAACATTCCCCATTAAAAACAAACACAAACATGAATAGCACACAGCTTGAACAGAGGATATGTCAACAGTTATAAATCACTATCATGTAAACTATCTAGCCTCACAATTACAACTTTGATATATGAGAGAATCCCTGGCACCGAGAAGCTCTACAGCCGAACTCTTGCTTTGAAATTTTCCACTGCACTAGTAACAATGGGGTACTTTGACACGAACCAAACAGTTATGTAGTGCTACTACTGAGCACATTATCCATGGCATTCCCAAAGCACCCTCCACTAGACGGAACAGCTTTGGAGCCATCCACAGAAGGGCAGATGCTGCACTGACCATTCTGCAGCAGATTAAGTTGTGATACAGGGGAAAAAAACCCAGTGCTGAAATATTCCTTCCTCTCAAGTTGAAATTGGACCTTTTACATTTCCTGTTTGTTTCCTGCATGTTCCTATGAATCAAAGAAAATTTAGCCTAAGTGAGCCCATCTTCTCAGACAAATGTTTAACAGTTGGCAAAATCACCTGCACTGAAGCAGTTACTTCTGTCACATTTCTGAATGCTAATCTTCCTCAGACATAGCTGAACAAGATCAGATTTGTCAGACAAATGTAATTTGTAACTGTTTCAAGAATATGTGTGTTTAATTCTCAACTAAGATCAGTTTTAAAATTCCTTACTTCAAAGGCAAAACCTCTGGCATTTCCTAATTCTTTCCCATTCTACTTTATATTTATCAGTTGAGCACCTGGCTTCTCATTTTGGAAGGAAACGCAGAAGGTACTTATTCTGTAGCAGAGGAGATTCACGCTTAACTCCTTGTGTGTTGCTATTCAAAATTGTTTTCCTAGCATATAGGTCTCCCAGCCTCACACTTCTGCTTACAAATTAGGACATATTTTGTTATTTCCTTGATACGCAGTCCTAGCAAGGACAGGTTAATGGGCAGATGTAGCAAAGCATTCCTCTAAAAAAGCAAAAAGTGGGATAAGCATTACTGAACAATTAACAGAAATACAACTGTATCCTGTAAGCCATTACCTCAACCTGACTCATCCAGTGCTAAATGCCTCCAATTTTGCAGAACAGCTTTGAAGATTTGGCTGCACATCCATTTTTATATGTGACATCTCAACACTGGCTGAGCACTTCAGCCCAAATCTACATACAAATCCCAAAGTCAGAGAACTAATTAAAAATTCCAACATGGAAAACTGTGATAAGAGCTTCAAAAATCTTAAGAGAAATTAAAAGAAAGGGAGAAGGCACTCTTCAATTAATCCTCCTCCCAAAAAACTCATTTCCTACTGCCTTCCCTCCATAGACTGCTCATGTTTTTAAAAAGAAGATCTAGCTAAATTATCATGGCAACCATGTGTACAACTCTTGTCAGTAAAAAAACAAAACAAAACAAACCACCAAGAGAAAAACACACATTAAGGACTGAAGTGCTGACTCCGAGAAGAGCAGAGCAAACCACTACAATTAATACCTCAATTCCAACAAAAGGCAAAGCTTCAAACAGAAGAACCAGATAAAAAAGGAAAAGCAACTTCTGCCTAAATATAACAGTCCACTACAACAACTTTATGCAACCCATAAATCTTGTGGCTACTGTAAAGCTGCACAGTCAATTAAATGTAGAACAGTCTCAATTAATATCTCCGGGGGTGAAGGACAGAGGAGATATCCATTCATATTTTCCTACCAGCTTCTCCTTAGACATGTTTTTGTCTGCAGATCAGTTCCTCTTGAGTGCTTAATGCTTGAACACTATCACAGAAGTACAGCGCCAAAAACTTCTAAGGCTACGTAAGGACTATGGCTCAGCCTCCTGCTTTTCTATAGTACTTGCATAGCTAATTTTTCCATATGATAAACAGAGCAGAGAGGAAATCCGTTATAATTTTCAACTTCATGACTCAAATCAAAGCCACGTGCTACATAAACTTTTATGCACAACAAGCAGAAAAAGCCTAACAGTTTTGACGTGTCGAACAAGTACATAAGAATGAAGCTCACGAATAGCAATCCTCTTTAGATGTAAATAATTCAGAGTTATTTCTCATATGTGCAATAACTCAACACTTATAAAAATCACAAAATCCCAAATAGATGAGGTTGGAAGTGACCTCTGGAGATCATCTAATTCAACGCCCTTCCTCAAAGCACAGGCAACCAGAATTGGTTGCTTCGGACTGCATCCATTGACTGTCTCCAGGGATGGTGTGTCTGCAGCTTCTCTGGGCAACTTGTTACTGTGTTCGACCATCCTCAAGATTCCTCAGAGCCAGAGAAATCAAAATCAGGTCACACGCAGGTGAGTTTCAGGCTGGTTTTTGTTTTGTTTTTTTGGGTTTTTTTTTTTTTTTTTAAATGAGGCAAATTAATTCCTGTTAAAAAGCCGCCCTGAAAAATCAAGTCCCCTAATTCATAGGGGAGGATGTCCAGCAGGGCAGTGACCACGCTGATTTGAGACTATTTCAGGACTAACAAAAATATTATTTGTAATGATATGTAGAGATGTTCAACAATTTTCACTGCCAGACTGAAAATACTAAAGTTATTCTAGACTTCTAGCATACCAGCATTTAAGAAAATATTCTGTCCCACGTAAGACAACAGTGCTCCTTTATAACACCTGAAGAAAGTGCCAATACATAGAAAGCTATCTTGCTATTACCCGCCCCTAGAGATAGCTGATGAAAAAATACTACTTCAAGCCAATCTAACAACAGTTTTGAATTTGAGCCTTTATTCTATTGCACCTCTTGGTCACAATGTTAAAACGAAATACTACAATCACAAGTCCGGAAGTGGAAAACCTGACCAAAGTCTGGAAAAAGTTCATACAAGGAACATGGTGTTCATTCATTCAGGCTCAGATCATTGAAATCATATTTAAACCTCTTAATGGTGTTTTCAGAAGAGCTCAGCTCCATGGCAGACACTCTGATACTATGCGCCTACTCATGGCAATCGTGCATCTTAAAAAGAAGTGCTGTCTGAAGACTACGGGACAATCTTGTTAGGGACTAACTTCCCTAACAAATTATTGTCGTTTAGCTAAAAATCAATGGATTTAAGTACTTCAACAAACAGCTTCGGTTTATCATATTTAACCTGGCCAAAGGGGGAGGGTGGGCAGTGTGTTAAATTTTTCCCCCCACATAGCACAATCTGAAGCGCTCATTTACAAAATGCGAAATGAAAGTGCTTTCCTACCGAACGTGTATAACACCAGAGCTGTATTGAAACTACCAGAGAAGCTGAGGTCCTTAGTGTCCTAACCTGGCTAGTCACAAAACTATGCTCTCCTAAATTTCCTGGTGAAACAAAATAATTCTAGCTTCTCTGAACAGAAGTCATACAGTCTTACGCCGAGTGGAGCAAAAGCCAGAGCTTCTCCAAACAGCTCAGAGGACATTATACAAGAAACTACGGTGGACATCCCTGCATCCTTCACAGTGTAAACATGACACAGTAACCATTCACCTTCTTCTTTTTTTTTTCTTCATTACATCTTTTGGGAGAAGCAGCTATTACGTTCTGCCCAACAGATCAACAACTGAAACTCCTGTTATAAGTGAATTGACATGGAGCAACATGTTATTCAGTGAAACCAAACGCAGGTATTCTTCTGCAGACAGCAGCAACCGCAGCTGGGTGGAGACCCGACATAAAGCACCTAGAAGCTGATCTTAATAGCTATAACTAACAATAGTGGGAAAGACAGTTTCTCAAGTAGCTGAATTCCAGACCGTTCAAGGCTCACCTTAAATTGCCCCCTGAAACAAACGCTACCATAAAAACTGTCTGGGTTCATATGTAACACTTTAAAAAGCCATATTTGACAGCTATGTTGTCATAACTGTGAAATACAGACCTCCTTTACTTCAGAGCTGTGAAATATTACTTCTCTTTCCTGCTAGCTGGCAGCAGGCATTCTGCTATATCCACTACACAGTATGTATAATAAGGAACAGATGCCTGTGAATTATGATGCTGTAATTCCATTGAGGGGTTCCAGGGATGTCAAACCACAAAGGCGAAGTCTGAGCAGTTCATGAAGGTACCTGAACAGAGCAGTGGAATTACAGCCCTGTCATGCAAAAGTTACCTTTTTAAACATGTGTGAATCTACATTTTTCCCTTGCATCTTTTCTTCTCTTTCTTTTCCCTCTATGTTCATTCAGCTTCTCAATCCACTCTCCCATTTCTCCTAATACCTCCTTTTCCTTCTCCAGGTGAAATACCATTCCCACCCGATTGTGGAATGCAAATTAGTTTTTCAAAGGACCACTTGACTCTGAACAGCGGTCTGTTTTTCTGAGAGCTTTTTCACAGTGGGTGTGAATGCAGTGGTGAATTCATCTAACATCTTTATGGCCTCCCAGAAAACGATGCCAATGACATTCTGAGTAAAAGCAATATTTTAAAGAAAATTAACAAAAGACTCTGAATCCATGGGAACATTTTCATGTACCGTTACCAAAGGCAGCTGTTAATGTTATTGCCAGTACTCTACTTTTGGCTGCGCAGTATACAGTCCTGCCAACAACATGCCAAGATGCCTCAGCTGACCTTCATCATCTTCAGGACCAAAGGCATCTTTATAAGGACAGGCAGCCACCTCTTTGCTATCTAGGGGACTTGGGAGATGAGTAGCCTGTACAGTGGGAGACCCAGGTGGCATAAAATCTCCTGGGAATATCCTGGAGGTTGCCGTAGCAAAGGCAGCCAGCTCAACTCCAGCTAAATGAGCTAGCTGGGGCACACAGCACAAAATACAAGTCGGCTGCTGCAGAACCAGCTCATGAGTGTCGGTACCACGCTACTCCCACCTGTTCAGATAGCACACTGCTGAAATCCCGGGAGTTAATTCAGGTGTCTTTCCACCCATGGAACAATTTACTCATAAATCAGCTCAGCGGAACTGGTGGACAAAAATTGAGTTTTCAGCTTAACCACAACAAAAAGACCCCACCAAAACTTACTATCTTATGGTCTTCTGGAGACAAGAATTCACCGAGCCTAAGTGTGTTTTACATCTCTACACTGGTTTCCCCGAATCACCAAACCAGGAGATTAAAGATTAATATTTTTTAATAATAAATCTCAGCAACAGTCAAGGAGTATGGCCTAATGAGCACATACCCATAATATCTACTTACTACTGCATTTTTATTTTAAAATACTGATTGCTAAGAGCCTGAAAATAAAAATCCCATCAACATATATGGCTTATGGTTATCATTAAGTTGATTAGTTGTTTTAATTTGAGAATTTTGGATATGATTCCCAGTTCCAGCACATAAAATTTTCCATTGAAAGCAGATTTTGGCATTCTTTGCATGAGATACAGTGGTTAGTGTTAACATGCAACCAAAAATTTTATGCAGGCAAATAAACTTACTTCCTTTTCTTTGGGCTCACTTCCAAAACACTGTTTTTAATATATGATGTACAAATGTCCCGTAACACTGCTTTATATTAAAAGCATGAGCCAGAAACGTCCTATGAGAACACTTCTTAGGTCAGTATTTTTCATTTGTTATTATTATTCATGCCTGCATACCTATATGGAAATACAGAATCACCTACAACATACTTAATTTCTTCAGAGGAAAATACTTCAGGAACAAAATTCAGCACGTCCTACTAAATGGTGTGAACGCACTGAGAAAGATTTACTCATTTGAACCCTCCTAGGAACATCAGCTGCAGAGACATTTTGACCTTCTACTCCAAAAATTGAACATGGTAAAAAAAAAAAAACAAAACAAAACACATACGACAGCACAAAGCTGCATGTGCTGAATTTTTTCAGTTAACACGTGGATGGACTTTCTCAAGCACTTCAGCAAAGCCAGGCATTCAGATAACACACAACCCAACAGTCTCTCATACTCTGGAATATACGACACTTTCATTTCTGGCAAATCTGTATTTTACTACTGTTTTAAAGACAGACTCTCTTCTCCCTCTTCTTTTTGTGAACAAACACACACATCTCACTTCCTTTCTAGGATCATTAATGCACTGCAACCAGGAGCGTAACTGCAATTTTTACATGAAACAGGATTAGACGATCATCCCTACCAGGGATCTACTTTGGTACAAGCCCCATGAAGCAGCAAAGGACTCCCAATGTAGCAGGAGGTGGCTGGCTTGCGCTGAGGGCCCATTACGATTTAACAATGAAACAATGGCTTCACTTAGTATATGGATATACTCCTTGAGGTGCACTGTAGACATACAAACACTGTAACAGAGAGGCCTCTTTGCCAATGATAAATGGTACTTCAAAAAAAAAAAAAAAAAAAAAGGCAAGCAATATATAATATAAAATCCACTCCAAAAAATCAATTCTGAGAAATACGGGTTTCTCCATTTCTTTTTGCTACACAAAAATATTCACATTTGTGGGCACTACACGCACCTGTTGTAACCATAACTTCAGATCAACGTAATTTTTGGATATATTGAAAAAGAAATTATTACTGTAAGTTTCAATTTCTGTTTGGGTTTGTTTGGTCTTTATGGGTTTCGGGGATTTTTATTTTTTTTTTTTTATTTTTACCTGAACCACTGTAAGACGATGATGAAGGTGTTCGCCTTGAAAAGCTCTTCACAGCAAGACTCTGCCCTCGCTGTTTCCGCCTCCAAGCTGTTCGGCATTTGGAGTCTATGCTTTGCTTGATTCGATACCAGTCAGATTCTGTGATTCCAAATTTGTAAAATAGGTGACCTGTAATTAGAGAGAAACACAAAGGGTGAAAATCAGCATAAATCCATATTTTCAGGAAAATGCATAGATGACACAGTTACACACACAAGGTGAACAAAGCAACTCTGAAAATTTTGGAACTGCCCTCATGCTTGAAACTGCCTAAAGGAATACAACATTATGAAAAATGCCAAACCTATACAGTGATGTGATTTCAACAACTATTCACAAAATTAAGAAATCATCCATATGCAGTTATACATTTTAAAATGTCACCGGTCTATGAAATTTTCTAATCTAAACTTCTATCCATTGAAACTCTACTATTACATTCAAGCCATGCAATGCTGACCAACAGAAGGATCCAGCACTCCGAAGCCAAAACGGGATAAAAGCTTTATTTCTCACTGATAGTGCCCCACAATATGTATAAGTCTGATAAGTAGGTGTCCTGGTTTTTGAAAGAGTTAATTTTCTTTCTAGTGATTGCTGTGAAAAGATTGTCAATAATACCTATTGGTTTTAGTTGTTGCTAAGTGATATTTACACTATTCAAGGACTTTTTTCTATGGGAAGATAGAACAGACAGAAGGATGGAACAGCCAATGAATTATTCCATACCATAGATGTCATGCTCAGTAGATACATGGGGGTGAGCTGGGGGATGGGAATCTGCAATCACTGCTCAGGGCAGTGCCAATTCACCGGGCGGTGAGCGTGACCCATGACATTATCATTATTGTTATTTTTCCTTTTCTGTTATTGTTTTTATTAAACTGCCTTCATCTCCACCCACAAGGGGTTTTTCCTCCCTTTCTCCTCCTTTTTTTCCCCCACTCTTCCCCCCACCCTTCTTGGGTTCTGTTTGCCGGCTGGAGTTAAACCACGACAGTAGGAAGCCATATAAAGCTCCCTATAAAAAACCTCTTTTAAAGCTCAGTTCAAAATTCATCAGAATCCAATAAAAACGCAATACAAAATTAGAATCTTCTGAAAATATTACTACTAGTATTAAGTCATATAAAGAGCCACATTATGCACTTTCCAGCATCTGGTGCTAAGTTGCCAAACTGTTATATAAACACAACATTGACTCGTGAGTTGAACTGAGTATTTTGAAACAAAGCTCATACAGATTGAGTCCTGCTGCCAGCTCAAACCAGGTTCATTATCATGTGCAACCTCTGCACCCGAAGGGGAAGCCTAGTTATACAAGAAACAGAGGGAACAAAAAGACTGTTTCAGGTATGACAAGAAATACTTGTTTCAACATCTGCACAAATGGCTTTAAAACTGGGAAGAAAACATGTTGTGTATTGTCAGCTGTTTCAAGGTCCTCCTCATATTGCTACATACTTTTACCATTCCATTGTAAGCTCCAGAGTGGTTTACACTTAGCTTAAAGCATCAACAATTGAGAGCATTTGACTGTATGTTGAGACATTTATAATCCTCATGACTGAAAAAAAAAAAAAAAAAAACCCACTTGAAAAATAAACCCAAAGGCTCAAGACCCGTGAATTAAAATACAACTATCTGAACATTTAACATTCTCTAAAACTTCAGTACTTCTAAACTTTCCAGATTTAGGTGTGCAATACTGCAGTTAAAAAACAATCCAAAGCTGTAATACACATTTTTACTCAACATGACTATGCTTGAAGGATCTCTTTAAGATTCTTATTTTCCTTTTGGTATTAGTTGCTTTCCCTGCCCCACAAAGTGAAACAATCTTTACAACCTACTGTGTTTTCGACCTTACTCTCAAATAGGATTCTGATCCTGTGAAGTACTTGCTTAAGCTGTTGTATAGTCCTACGAACAGGATACAGTCGGCTCCTGTAAGACAAATGACTTGAAGCCTACAGCCCCAAAATTCCAGGTTTGCACAAACTAACAGCTTTGTATTTTCCTTTGTATTACAAATGAGTCCAGAGTCCTCAGAAACTGAAATTTGCAGGCTACTGATCTACCATAGTCAAGTGGAGTACTGTATCTCTAAAGTCATCATCATTTTTGTAAACACATTTATTTTTTGGTGCTCTGAATTTTTTTTTTAATAGATCTGTTCAAAAAGTAATTTGAAATAAAGTCCAGAACACGCAGGAGGAAAATACTGCCATCAAAAAGCTAATTCAAAAGCACTTTAAAGGCCCCAAGATTTCTCATTGGCAAGTGAGAGCGAGCACGTTACTTAGATTGCTTTACAACCCTACATCATGTCTCCAAAAAGGGAGTGGGAGTAGAAAAGGAGGAAAATGGACTGAAATTATCATCTGCTGCTGTGCAACACTTTCCTTTCCACAGGTGTCAGCAAAAAGAAAGCACATTCTGTATTGTAAATACAGAGAAAACACTTCTCAGCGTAATCTATTACTAATATGCACTACATAGAGGAATAGGTTTAAAAAAGTTTGCAGTAATGTCCAATAAAAATAGTTATGCTTTAACTCTTTATACAACTTCAGCTGTATGTACAAAAGTACTTGTGTAGTCCTACATAAAACAGTCATATGCTCTGTGGTTATTTTGAAAAAATGTCCATGTTTCATTCATAAATACATTTTAATAACTTTCACGTTGTATGCTGCTCTGTTTAGACACGTGACTGAATCAACTGCAGGTCAGAGAAAACTCTCATAAAAAAACAGTCTAACTAGGAATTCTAACTATTACAGTGTAATCCATGGGATTTTCCAGGATGTCACTTAATTCAAAGAGAAATCAAAAGCAATATAAATTGTTTGGGACAAGATAGTCTCAGGTGCATTGAGCTGTTCATACTAGAAGACCCAAGCCGTGTAAGACAAGAGCTTGACAAAGATGATGAGTGCCACAGCTGTGACATAAAACGGGCCAGAAATTGCTCTATTGGGGGAAGACAGGAAAATACCTTGTACTTACTGATCACAAAAGCTATCATTTAATCAGTGCGATAAGGAACGGCGACGAAAGGCTGGAAAGAGACACCACTACCTTTGTGGAGAGAACATGACTACAGGGGAAAGCATGAAAATAGATAACAAGCTAAACAGAGTAGAGTCAGAGAAGAAGATTTTAGGTTAGAGAGACCCAAGACATCAGGCACGGATTTTCAAGGCTGGCTGTGCTCATTTCTTTTTCCTTATTCATTAAATCCCTACTTCGCTGTTACAGTGGTCGAAGGTGTAAAACTGGTATAGATGAAACACGTGCAGCCTGCACAGATTTTTACCATAACTGCATACTCAGTCACAATAACTGCATGTGCAAATTAGGCATGAAAAATTAGCCCTTACGTACAAAGACAATTGATATAAAGGTTAAATGAATTTCAGATGTATAAATCTATCCAGTTGGTATGACAGTCTAAAGCATTAGTCTATGAACAGGTCTTTAGCAACCAAATTTGTAACAGTCCACCGATGACTGAAGAAAAATCTGATGCTAATACTAGTGGAGTATTTTTTACATAGATAAAAAAGTTCACCATAATACTAGAAATACGATTCACCTGTAACAGAGAGACATCCCAAAAACATGTGCAAACAATATTAGAAAACTGAAGCATGCTGACTTTCTGTTCTCTACCCTTAAATGATCACATGCAGGAGAGCTTTCAGCTGTCTCATTCTGAGTATGTCAAATACCCAAAAAGTTAGAAAGGCAGCCATAAAGCAAGATACTGCAAATGAGACATTTAACTTGGGGAAGTCCATATTAGAAAAGACAGAAATACTTCAGTGAGAAGGGATTTGACTTTTTTCGGAACGTTTGCTAGTCAAAAGCAGCATGAAGCGTTGTAATTTGTAAGCAGCACAGTATCTATGAGCCACATAACAACCCTGCTAAAAACACATTAAAAAAAATACATTCAACAATATAATTCAGCACTTTGGCAAAAAGACAACAGTATTTTGGAAGACAGATGCACTTACACAAGAAGAGTGAAGTAAAGGATTTAGATCATCTAAGAACGGCTGGCTGTTTTTAGCGATCTTTTTATTTCAGACAAGGGATGGTTGTCAGCAATGTTCAAAACAAAGGATATGCTTGTTTTTAAAACACTAAGGTTCTGAAGTTTGCTTTATTTGGGAACTTCACTTCCTAAGCAAAGCTTTCTATGAAAACACATCAAAGACTTAAAATAAGTCAGTTATTTAATACATTGCAAGAGCTTGAGTGATTTCTAAAGACCTGATACCTACTAGCAGCAGCGTGGGAGACAAAAAGGTCTGCATAAAGAATTCCCAGAGACACGGGCTATTCTGAAATGCAGAGATCACTTTGGTTTGCAAGCAAGAACCAACGTTCAAATCTTACCACGAAAAAGCTTAGGAGGAAGGCATGTGTGCATCAGAAAAATTAAAGAAGTCAACCTCAAAAGCCAACAGGTGCATCATACTGAGTTTTGCCTTCAAGATCCTAGATTAGAAACACAGCACATTTTTGCCGAAGTTCCTATAAAACTAAAAAGATGACTGACGTAGCAAGTTCTAGAACATTCCTTGTACACTGCAAAATAAATCTTTCTGTGGTTCAAAGAAAAAAAAAAAAGCTTGTAAATGCAGTGAAGGTCATCTGTTACAAACACAAAAACTGTCAGCAATAATGTCTGAAATGACTATATACCCCAAACTTTTGGGGCATCTAATATACAAAACACGGGAGAAAAGGGTGGTGGTTTGGGAGTTTGTTGTTTTTTTGTTTGTTTTTGTTGTTTGGTTTTGTTTTCTTTTTTTCAAAACCAGGACTCATTAGAAGAAAAAGAAAACCCCGTGAAAACAATGTTCCTGAGAAAGTAATCCACTCTTTCTTAAAGGTCAGAAGTCAGTCAGCAGACAAAACAATCCACATAAACCATTAAATTGTAAAGAAATTTAATTAAGAGCAAATTGAGGAGGAAGAGAAGACATTTGCAATAGCAAAACCAGACATGAAATATTCCATCTTGATACCGCATTCAAAATCAGCCTCCTAAAATACAAACTTCATGTCAATAGCTTGCATTTGGATATTCATAGGTTGTGCTGCTTCCCATT